CAAATACACACAAAAACATCAAAATTAGCACAGAAACAGTACTATATAACATTTTAGACACATTCTAGACAGTTTATCAGCTAAAAAAAGTTAATATTGGGGTAAGTTACTCTTTAAAGTAGCTCTTCAGTGCTTATGAAAAATTAGGAGAAGCAAAATTTAATTAGTCACTGGCTAAACAATCTTTCATTTAATTCTAGTCAATCTATATCCCTTTCTCTTGTTTGTCAATCAAACAGTTTAGGGCTCAGTATGGTCGATCGGCAGACAACGCGCGGTTACGTGGTTGTTCGGTATTTCTTTTCACACACACTTTTCATGGCCCTTTGAGACACACTGGCCTCCCGTTTCGGACACAGTAACTGTGCCAAACTCCTGGGAAACCCCTCCCGCTGTGCTAAATGAGACCCCTCACCCGACGTTATTTGTGCACAAATGTGTTGCAGTTAAACCCAAAGTTAGTTGTGTGAAATACAATAAAATATGAATGGATAAACACAAAAGAAAGGTGGTTTCATGTGAATTGAAGACCAAGTTTTTTTGTGTGCAAAACAAGCTTATTCCAATGGTTTAAGTTTCAAATTAAAGGCTGCAAAAAGTAGCTCTCAGACAATTTCATTTTGTGAAAGTAGCTCTTAAGGAAAAAAAAGGTTGGTTGATTTAGTACAATAAGGATCAATTCAAAGTATTATTATAGAGCCAGATCACAAGTCATCTGAAGGCACAAAAAATCTGTGATATTTATTTCTGTTCAAAACTGATTTAGTCAAATCCAGGTCTTTTTTTTTTCTTATAATTATTATTTTTTTATTTAGAAAGACAAGTTTCCATCACATTCATTAATTACAACTTAAGCCATTCAATGTTGTGTATAAGGATGGGAAGCAGAAAGTCAACAACATTTTGTCCATAGTGTCTTTCTGGTATTTTCATTTATGGACAGTTACTGATTTAGTTGTGAACAATAATAAAATGAACAAAACTGGGGAGCTCACCACCTCAAGAAATAAAAACCACAAGAACAAAAGGTCAGGTACACATAATTCACAAATACAGTCAAGTGAATCATTTCTAATTGGTTTTACATACTCGATCCATTTGGTCCAGGTCCTATAATTTTTTTTTCTTTTTCAACTTGTAGGGAGAAAAAAAAATCTTTTTTATAACATAAATCTCAACCCATTTGTCAGTGGTGGGTGGTTCTGGTTTTAAGCATTTCCTTGTCATGGATTTTTTTACTGGCTGCCAGTATTGCAAGCAGTTTTTTTGTCTTTGTTGCTCCATGGGTCAAACAGTGAATTGCCCAAGTATAGAGTTTCACATTTGAATGGAATATTTACATTAAATATATTTTCAATATGTTTGTGGAATTCTTCCCTATGTGGTCTTATTACCTGGCAGTCCCAAAAAATGTGGAATTGGTTGGCTCCTTTGGTCCCACAAAGTCTCCAGCAGGCGTCTCCGCTGCCTTGATATCATTTCTGACTGGGTGTAACAAAAAAATCGTGCAATGTTCTTCCTGCAAACTTCCCACCATGTGTTCGACCCAGTCAAGATCCACTGAAGTTGGCATATTTCCTAAAACCTTTCTTGTGTAATTGATACCTTTATTTCCCTTTCCCATTTCTTCTTCATGTATTCTGTGTTCTCATGTTTGGATAACTGTATAGCATTACATAATTTAGAGATAATTGTCTGATCTGGACTTAGTGACAGAAATATCTCCATGAACCTTGAATCACATTTTTCCCACACCTCTTTCAAATTTCTGTTAAAATAGTGTCTCACCTGCAGGTATCTAAAAAAGTAATCTTTTCTCAGTCCATAATCCTTCTGTAAGGTTCAAATCCAGGTGTTTTTAATTTAAATCACAGTACATTTAGATACTGTACATTTACATACCCAGTACATTTATATAAAGTACATTCACACACACAGTACATTTACATACTGTACATTTTCCACAGTACATCACAGTATAAAGTCACAAATCTCATTTTCCTTTTCATGTTTCCAGAATGTCTTCTTTGACTCGACTGGTTTCCAGTTTGAAGACAAGAAATCCTAATCCTGACTATGAGATGGTGAGATTAAAGTTCTTTAACTGCATGTAAACCAATGAGCTTTAACAAATCAACAAATTTAATTTTTTGTGGGGTGGTGGGCATGAATATGTAATCAGTTGTTTGGGAACAGAAGAAGTGTTTTCGGGCAGACAGACAGTAACAACAATTTTCCATCTGCCAAACCAAGCTTTCCATTACATATAAATAAATCAATCACAAAACGAGTTCTGGGTTAATAATCTGATTGAGTTGATGGATCTTTAGATTGATGACCAGATACTAAAATATGAGTTGAGAGAAAGAAAGCTAACGTGTTTTATTAAAGAGCAATGTTTGACGTGTTTAATATTTCTGCAGCAAACAGAGGTTTCTGCTTCAATATGAAAAAAGTGTTTTTCTGATCAATAAGCAAATATTAATCCAGACAACATCACTACCCAGTCACCATGGTTACAGTATCAGTTTGAAACACCTTACAGCTTCTGATCTGTAATGAACAAGAGCATTAAATAAAAAGTCTTGGTTTGATTTTTGTTCTCACCTGCCCCCTCAGGTCCATCAGGCGGGGTTAACCTGTGACTCTGTGGAGCTGCCTCACCACATCAGTTCTGAGGAGGAGATTGATGGGCTTGTTTCTGCTGCGCAGCTTTTCCTCAAGGCTCTGCCCAGACCTACACTGGTCACCATGTCCAGGTGGACCCCTCAGACCTGATGGCTCTAGACCAGACTGGACTGTGGCCTACAGAGAGAGCTTTAATGCCTTTCTTTGTTTGTGTTTTCAGGTCCAGTCTGGATGAATACTGCCCAGTTGAACAAGTGGATTCAGTACAGAGCAAAGTCCTGGCAGTTCTTGAGGATCTGTATGGAGACCTGGACGTGTATAAAGAATATAAAAATTGTAACAGAGATTCTCCAAACGGTCAAACAAAAAGTCATTAAAGAGATACGTGGAAGTAGAGAATGGACTTTGTAGTTTCAGCATCATGAAAATAAAAGAGATTAATAAGGACATGTGTGTCTGTCAGTAAAATATCTTGTGTTTTATGTGTTTAGTTTATCAGTTTATAAACACTTTTACCCCAAGAAAAGACAAAAAAAACCCACTGTTTATAAGATCCAATGTGATCTTACTGTAAACTGGTTGAATAAAGTCATGGAGGCTGAGAACTGGCAGCACAATCGTTCCAAACTGTTATCTGAATTAGACTTGACTTTGTGGGCGTGGTTTAATAAAAACACGATTGTTCTGATTGACAGTTTTGGGGGTTTGAGAAATGCTGGGCAGGTGAGGGACATATCGGTCGGTTTAAACGGCCAGGAAACATTTGTATTTTTAAATAAAAATGTTTGTAGTCATAAAACAAGAACACATGAAACTCATGAAATTTAAAGTCAATAACTACTGTATATGTTCACAATAATTTTTCTAATCCATTATTTTAACTTTTAACTTCCTGCGATAATTTAATCTGACAAATCATGGTTTTGCCAAACTTCCCGTGTGCTGCAGAGGCAATAGAAAAAGAGATACTTCGCCCACACTGCTGGCCAGTGTATGAATCCATTCATGCATAATTTTTCTTAGACATGCAAATATTAAAGTTTTGTGTCTTTATAACACTTTTATAAAAAAAAAAATTGCAGCATATATCTGACATATTGAATTTAATAATAATAATGTACTGTATGTTCACAATGGTTTTGTACAATATTCAACAGAAAGCATATTGCACTCCTGTGATTTAATCACAATGAACATAAAATAATGGTTAAAAATAGGAAGACATTCAAGAAGAGAGAACATAAAGGAAACAACAGCAAATTTCACCTAACCAACTTGAAGGTTCAAGTTCAAGTGGTTCATTTCATGTTTTGTTTCAAGCCACTCTTCATGCTTTTGGCCACCATGTGGCAACAACGAGGTCAATGTTGAAAAGGTTTGAGTACTAAACTTTAAATAAACTACAGAAAACTTTCAGTGATCAGCGCAGGAAGGCTCAATAACAGACTCAAAGAAGCTGAGGGAACCAGAGGGATGAGGACGAGTCTCTGTACACAGGGAACAGGTTGGTGATCAATTAGAAATATTTTTGAAAATCAGAGTGAATTAAGACACAGAAGGGCAGAACTTTTAACCTCCCTAAGAAGAACACTAGAGAAATGTTAAGTTTCTAATATAAAATTAATAATCAAATCTAGCAGAGCTGGGATTCTTGAAGTTAGCAGTTCATCAGTCTTTTCACTGTTTTGAATCATCAGAGAATCTCATTACAGCTGGTAAAATAAGTATTGAACACGTCACCATTTTTCTCAGTAAATATATTACTAGAGGTGCTAATGACATGAAATTTTCACCAGATGTTGGTAACAACCCAAGTGATCCATACATACAAAGAAATGGATCACTTGGGTTGTTAC